ATATATATGAGATAAATGTTTCAGTATTATTCGCATTACAGCATGTTATAAACAAAAGCTCTAATTTGTCAAAATAACATTGATCAAAATGTCAAAGACAGCCCAATTTATTACGTAAAATGGATGGATGGATGGATGGATGGATGGATGGATGGATGGATGGATGGAGTGATGGATGGATGGATGGAGTGATGGATGGATGGAGTTTACTTAGCTGGACAACTGAGAATTGAAGCACCTGAAGGCGGTGGCAATCGAGATTGGAGCAGCAGGAGCAATAACTGAAAAGAGTTCGAGTCAGTTAAATCTGTGTGTGTGTGGGGGGGGGGGGGGGGTAGGATGTTTGACAGAATCGGAGCTGCTCTATTTACAGGGTTTTCCTCTTGCTCTTCTCATTGAGCCTTGAGGACTCATTTACAAGAGAGACTGGTTTTTAATCAATGTAATCAAATGTTTACAAATGTGCGTATAACAACACGTTAAAATACACCAAAACACAGGAAATGACATCTCTTTTATTCCAAATTTTCTCGGGGGGAGAGACCCTGTTCCCCCTCCTCCCCATCGCCGTACTGCCTGCTATTTGTGTTCCTGCATCAGTCAGTTTACAAATCAAGCCCTGGTCATATATTACATACTGGGCCAGACAAGTGTCTATTTTGTCCACATGATTGGACCGGAACAACTCTGTTGATACTGTTCTATACTTTAGGGTTTTTCTCTGGTATTCACCATCATCGTCTTTTTCTTCTTGCTGTGTTTAAAGATCGTCCCCAGCATGTCGGCCTTATGCACGTTCCACATTTTGCTTGTGTTTCCATGGTGGCGTTCCTGCGCCACACACAGGCCTGGCAATAGTTACTACTGCATTCTGGGCCATTTTCTGCTTTTTTTATGTGAATTTAAAGATTTCTTGAAACTGTTGCATGTTTGCAAAAAATATTTTTGAAGCAACAAACAAAACAATTGTCTTGGCTGAACCAAGTACGACTTCAGGAAGGTGCACAAGATCGAGAAAACCTTGTGTGTCATCACATGCGTGCACCATCTAATCTTAAACATCTTTTACAGCATTTTAAAGCAGAACGTTTTTTACTTCAACAAGCAGAAGTTTATTTTCATCATCAGAAAAATTATCCTAAACGCACCATAAAACTGCAGAATAAACTCTGAAAAACATCATGTGAAGGTTTTGCCGAAGGCCTTCACGTCGTCAGAATCACACACACACATCTGAACCTGGTTATCACTATTGTGCAAAAGTGCATTTTAATTTTGAACTGTTGGAATATCCTCTGAGGTGGATGAAGTTGAAGAACAACCACTGACAGCTCTGCTCTTTTCCTCTCAGGTGTTCACCAGGTACGGAAAGTGTTACATGTTCAACGCTGCAGAGGAGGGGAAGACCCTCCGTACCACCATGAAAGGAGGGACTGGAAACGGGCTGGAGATCATGCTGGACATCCAGCAGGACGAGTACCTGCCGGTGTGGGGGGACACAGGTAGGCCCAGCAGCACTCACATGCATGAGCCTACAAACCATTCTCTTTGTCTTCTTTTTGTGTTGCTTCTTGCTGCTGTAAAGTACTTACAGAGCTTTTTTTTCCAGTATAATGGGTTTTCTGTTGCCAGGCGACAGAGAAACAGACACTGTGTTGCTTGCTTTATAAAAATAACTCATAATTGTATTTTTTTTTGTTTGTTTTCTACATGAGTACCAGGGTACAAACAAGATGAGTTTCCAAAAGGTTTTCAGTGTTTCTGCTCTTGAAGTCAAGTATTCCAAACATATTTCTTTTCCAAAATCTTGTAACCACCATGCAACATTTTGTTTCGTTACTTTTGTTCCTGTGTTTAATGTGAAACGACTGCATCTGGGATGTGTACCCATGAAAAACTGGCACTTCGCACTTTACACGAGCCCGTTCTTCCTGTTTTTACATACAGGCTAAATGAGCAATCCTGTAATCAAACGTAGCTTTGTCCTCCCCGCAAACTCTGCAGTCATCTCACAGAGTTTTGTTTTTTATCAAATATTATCTCACACAAGCCCTTTGTACATGTTTTGCTGTGAAAAATACATCAACGATTTATTCTTCTTCTGTAAAATCAGTTATCGATGATATGTGCCTGATTAAATTCACCGTAGCGTTTCTCTAGCTAGATTCTACGCGAAACATCCAGTTGTGCATATTTTTTTTTAATTTCCAGACATAATTTACTATAATTAACACAAAGATCATTTCTGTCTGCTGATATAATCTCTTTAGGGACACTTATCACCTAGAATTTATAAAAAATAAAACAGGTAAAACTTGATTATATCAGTTTAACAGTTTACTGGTTTATAAACTGTTTTAATATGCAACATGTGACTCCATCCATTCATCCATTATCTTTAAGTCACTCCTTCTCTTTCGGGTCACGGGGATCACTGGTGCTCATATTCAGCAATCACTGTGCGAGAGGTGGGGGACACCCTGGGCAGGTCTCCAGTCCATCACAGGGACACATAGAGACAAATGAGACAAACAACCATTCACTCGCTCACTCACACCTAGGGACAATTTAGAGTTACCAATCAGCCTAACATGCATGTTTTTAGTCTGTGGGAGGAAACCAGAGCACCCGGAGAAAACCCACACGTGCACGGAGAGAACATGCAAACTCCACCCAGAAAGACCCACCAGCCGGGATTCAATCCAGCGATCTTCTCCCTGGGAGGCGGCAGCTCTACCAACTGATCCACCATCTAAACAGTTTGTTTGTTTTTTATGTGGGATCATGGGTGGAACTATGATGACATATAAAGGTTGTTGCAGTCTGATTCTTCAGAGGTCATCTCAGGACACTGGACAGAAACCAAAACACTCACCTCATCACCTGAAAACGAACAGAACTCGTCATCATGGTGATCTGGCCACACTCAGACATTCAAATACAATACAATGCAATACAACTTTATTTATAACGCACTTTTAAACAACACCTTTGGCCAAAGTGCTATACACCATCACATAGAAGCATAAAAACTATGAACTCAACAAATACCATAAAAGTGATGAACTACCAAATCATAAAACATCAAACAGTAACAACAATAAAACAAATAACATAAAACAGTAAAGCCAACATTTCAAGCTGCGTTAAAAGCCAAAGAGAAAAATGAGTCTTCAGGGCAGATTTAAAAACAGGAAGTGAGTCAGCTTGTCTGACGTGCAGAGGCAGCTCGTTCCACAGTTTAGCAGCGACTGAGAACGCTCGCTCACCTCTCAGCCTCCTGTTGGACTTTGGGACGGCCAACAGCAGCTGATCAGCTGATCTGAGAGAGCGTGAGGGAATGTACGGCTGGAGAAGGTCGGACAGGTACTGTGGGGCGAGACCATGAAGACATTTGAAAACAAACAAAAGAACCTTAAAATTAATCCAGAAACAAACTGGGAGCCAGTGTAGCGATTTTAAGACAGGGGTGATGTGCTCTCGCTTTCTGGTGCCAGTTAAAAGATGAGCAGCAGCGTTCTGAACCAGCTGAAGTGGAGTCAGTAATGACTGGCTCAGACCCACATAAAGTGAACTGCAATAGTCCAGACGAGTTGTGATGAAGGCATGGATTAAAATCTCAAAATGATTACATTCAAATGCATTATTCTGAAAAGATCTGGCTAAGCAAGAAAACTCACTTCTTTTTCTGTTTGTGTTTTCTTGCTGCCGTTAACGACGTGACATTACGGCTGCCTGTGTGTGTGTGTGTGTGTGTAGGTTTATTTGTCTGGTAGCAAACATCTCAATGTTAATGAATCTCACTGATCTCTGGAGTGACATCACGTTTGGAGTCAACCTGATTCAAAATGTCCAAAAGAGGTCACACTATTTCATGATATTACAAATGTACACGGTTTGACCAAAACAAACACAAACCTGTCGTTTCACTTCATAAGATGGTTTTACTTCTATACTCAGGCAAAAAAAAAAAGGCTATTTGCATTCCTTTAAGCAATGCTATGTCTTTACTTTGTATCCTAAGTTATATTAAAATGAGAATGTTTTTTTTTTGTTTGCTGAATCAAAAACCAACACACGACAGCTCATTTCTGTGGCCAGTGTTCACCGTCCAGCTCCTCGCAGCCGCAGCACTTTTCAGATAATAAAGAGTGAAGAAAAACACCTGGAGATAAATGACCTGATTCTGTGTCCTAATCACAGAGACAGATTGATTTCCTGACGCTCTCTGCATAATTATTTGCAAACTATCTTCCTGACGGCCATAAACACATTCAATCAATTTACCTTTTGTTTTTGTTTTTTCTAAGATGTGCAGATTGGTTTGTGGGCGAGCATCTGCTTTCTCTAACCACTCGAACTTTTCAACGTGAACTTTTTTCCCCCCGCAAAAGTAAGCATGAGGAGCATCGTGGTCTGTGTCAACAGAACTCTGGAGACCGACTGCCGGCCTCTGGCTGATGGACAATAAGAAAAGCGATGGGAGGGGCCGCGTAGAAAATTGGGAAGTGTCTGGAGTCGATGGGGGAACGAGTCCCTGGGCGTGCTGAGTGCGACCATTGTGTCGGCACGGTGCATTTTCTGCTGAGGCTGACTCATACTGCACAGGCTAATTAAACCCCATGGGGGAGGGACAAGGACACAGAGAACCTGGACCTGTTTGGAGACTGAACATGAGGAGGGTGTGGCTGCAGCACAGCCTGCCCATGTGATTTTAAACTCGTCTCTTTCTGAGGAACAAGAAGAGTAATTTTAGAATGAGGTAAAACGTGTCAACCTGCTGGACTTTTGCTCGTTAAGCTGCTGGACCGAGCCGGAGCTGGCATGGTACTCTGTTTCATCATGGACCCATGTAGGCTGACAGCTTCCCCAAACACCTGATCAGAAGCACTGACCGTCAGTCTGACACAGCAGAATGGAGAATAACAAAGTGCCGATAGTATTTTGTCTGTGTTGGTGTATTTTGTTTCATTTTATTCTTTCTTAACTGTTGGGGAACTACAGAAATGAGCTTGTATGGATAAATGGATGAAAGAGTCTGTGGCCGAAATTTACCTGTAGAGGTAGATCTTAATACATTAGAATACCCTGATGCATGCTCAGTAATCCAGGTAGAAAAATCTAACGAGGTTAAGTGAGATCATCTGGACGGATCCATCCAGATGATCTGACTTAACCTCGTTAGACATTAGAATATCATTGAAAAGTTAATTTAGTTTAGTAGTTCAATTAAAAAAAGTGAAACTTGAATATTATATTAATTAATTACCCACAGAAGGATGTAGTTCATGTGTTTATTCTGGTTAATTTTGATGATTTTGTCTAAAAAGGAAGTTTCTCTGAAATTTAAACTATAAGGACTAATAGATTGACTAGTTGTAGATGGTAACTGGAGTCAGGGCTTCAAGAGCCTCCACCCACAGACAGATCAAGGACCTGGTCTACAGCTGTCCCATTCCTCATATCCGGCCACTCCGGAACCAGAGACAACATCAAATGTGTTTCCTGGGCTGAGGACAGAAACGATTGGCTCAGTGGTCCAACGTCGTCTTTCCAGATGAAAATAAATTTTGCATTTAATTTGGAAATCCAGATCCCAGTGTCTGGAGGAGTGGAGAGGTCCAGCTGCTTCAGTTTCAGCATGAAGTTTCTACTATTAGTGACTATTTGGAAGCCATTAAGGTATAAAATTTACTTTTAAATGATGATCTAGTTTTATATAAGTTTCTACATATTTACTTTTTTCCCCTAAAATAACACTGATGTAATTATTTAGGAGTTTTTCATCTGAATGTTTTTATCGTTTATCTGAACCTTCAGAATCGCTCAGATCTCTTTGAACCAGTCTTTATAAACTTTAGGCACTTGTTGCTTGCAGCAGCAACAAAATGTTTTCAATACAAGAAGAAACGTGATTTGATCAGATCGCACACTGTGTGACTGTGATGACATTCAACTTTGATTTATTCTATTAGATAAACATCTTTTTTAATTCAGACACATCCGACTTTTGTTAAACATCAAATCTGCTCTCTTCTACTGAAGCTAAACATGAACTTGTCACAATTCTGATCTATTTATTTAATTTCAGCTAATTTATATAGTGCCAAGTCACAATAGAAGTCATCTCAGGGCACTTTACAGAAACATCCTTGCATATACATACAAAGTACGTTAATAACATTAATTATCTGAGGAGCAGACTGCTTTAAGTCTCCACAGCAAATAATTACACCTTTTTCACCCACTAGATATACATGCATTAATAAACTTAGTGCATTTAAAGCTCATTCAAACTATTATTTATTGCTTGTGAAGATTAATTTAGTTCAATGCAATTCTTTAATGTACAACTGCAGGTTTTTAACACCGATATGTGATAGTCAGTTAAAGAAATCTGGTTTATTTTACAAAGTAGAGTTGTAACATGTTGTTGATATCCTTAAAGAGATTAATAAACTTTGCATTATAGTCGTGTTTAAAACTAAATGTTTGACCTTAA